GAGGCATTCTAAAACCTCACGTCGCAAGTGACGAGGAATGGTAAGAAGCCAATGGCAGCCTTCGGGCGAATAGTTGCGCCGGTAGAGAAGGCCATTTCGAATGCGAAAATGCTTGGACTGTCTTTGTAGTGAGCGGTTTGGGGAAGATGCAGGGTCTCTGACAACAGCCGAAATTTTAAATATCCAAGGATCTCTTGCTTGTTCTTGCTCCATGTCAACAATGTATAACGCGGATAAGGTGATAGGGTCTTCATCAGAGTCAGGTAGGTCTGGTGGTTCAGAGTGCAGAAGACATCTAGAGAGACCATCGGCGTCGGCATGTTTGCGGCCGGATTTGTACAGAACAACGAAGTCGTACTCTTGCAGCCGCAGCATCCATCGACCAAGGCGTCCCGTGAGATCTTTCAAAGATGACAGCCAGCAAAGCGCGTGGTGGTCGGTCACAACGTTGAATTTTCGGCCATAAAGATATGGACGGAACTTGGCAACTGCCCAGACGACTGCCAAGCATTCTTTTTCAGTTACGGTGTAATTTCGTTCTGGTTTTGTGAGAGCCCTGCTTGCATAGGCAACAACGTAGTCACCGAAACCTGTCTTGGTTTGTGCGAGCAAAGCCCCAACTCCAAAGCCGCTAGCATCAGTGCGAAGTTCTGTTGGGGCAGTAGGATCAAAATGCCGAAGTATCGGGGCAGATGTTAAAATATTTTTAAGCTGGTTGAAAGCAGCCTCGCACTGCGATGTCCAAGAAAATGGGTGTGAGGATTTCTTTAGAAGATCCTGCAGGGGTGCCGCTATGGATTCGAATCCGAGTACAAAACGTCGAAAATAGGAGCAAAGTCCAAGAAAAGTTCGAATTTCTTTTTGGGTGGTTGGCCTGGGCATGTCAGAAACGGCCTGAATTTTGCTAGGGTCGGGTTGAACGCCTTGCGTTGGGGATATATATATATATATTAAAAACAGCTGTCTCAGCTTTAAGCGAAGTTTTATTTGTACTAATAGTTGAATGCTCACATATTAATTTCGAAATATATGAAGACTCTCCCTAACAAATTTCGTCGCAATCGAAAGAAACCCTATATATGTATATTGCGCTGATATAATTGCAGAAATGCATAGGCACTTCCCTAGGTACTGCGTTTAGCACACACGTTTAACCTCTTTTTCGTGAATGTCCATTGCGTGGCTCCACCCCATTATTTGCAAGATGGCTACAAAAGAAAGAAAGAAAATCTACTGGCTGTGAGAGTAAAAACAATCCTTTTGGTTCGTTGTTTTGATGAGGCACCTATTTTCCCAGATTTTTGCTCCTTGCAGTGCAATATATTTCTCGAGCACGTTTTGGGTAACAGCTTGAACCTGCCTATTTACGTCACAGCGTGGGAAATGGAACGGTTGTGGTTCCTGAAAATTTATGAACCACGCTCCAAGCAGAAAAGCTTTTATTTATAAAGCGCTTCTTGAGAAGACTTGTTTGGATCTACTTATGAGCGGAACAGAGGTCTACAAATCGATATAATGGTATTACCTGTTCAAACGTGCCCGTGCGTCTCATGAGTTCATTGAAGTTAAAATGATTTGTACACGCATAGGTTTTGCTATATGTTGTTCAGGTGTTCAGTATATGAGGCACGTTGCTCACTAAGTATAAAATATATATTCTTTAATTACTGTGCCGCTTTGTATGCCAAAATAATAATATTCTGCTTTCCAGTGGCATATTGATTTCTGAAAAATCAGGAGATTGCTTCTTTATATTAGTTCTGTTTACCATGGATGCATTTATTTAAACAATGCGTTCGAGAAAGTCAAATTTTGAAATAACTGTTTTAAAGAAACATAGGCAGCTATTCCCGAAGTATACGTGCGGTACAGGATGTTGAGACTCATATTTCGTACGTTTACGACATGCTCGTGTCAAGTCGCGGTACTTTGGGTTGATGCTCTTTCTCGGTATAAAGGCGTTTAGAATTTATACTGTGGCACAGCCTGCCTTTGTGCGTGGTCTACTGAGTGAAGGCAAACAGCAATGAACATCTGGTAATATAAAAAACCGGGTGTTGCCACCGTGGACGCTGTCATGTCCTACATTTATAACAAATTCGTGGAAGTACACAAGATGAATGCCTTTATTACACGCCTAAAAATAATAAACTAATGTCGATGTTCAGCGGCGCAGTAGCCTGTATGCTATTACAGTACGTCCACAACGAAATATATCTTGTAAAGAAAAACGTATACTAAAATAGTTTTATGAATATTTGAACTGTGACACTTCGTTTGTAGGCCAAGGTTGCAAAACCTCTATACGAGCAAAATATGTAACATTATTCTAGATTTTATGTACAGTGTTTGTCAGCGATCAAAAGGGCCATATAAAATCACAAAAAAAAATGGAGAACCTAGTTTATCGCATTTCATACCATTTTAGAAAAGAACGATGTCCAGCTGCAAAACAAGGTGTATAAAACAAGCACGTTGGTCGCGCTGTAAAGAGATATTTAGGTTTAAACTAATGCTGCATCGCATGCGCTTTCTAGAAAACAAGGTGAAGGAGAATTCACACTACCGTGTACAGCATTATTATACTTATTTACGTACACCAGTGTATCAAGGAAGATGCCCTGTTTTAAGTTGCAAGGCCCGGGGAATGTGGACCAACCAAAAAAGAACCAAGGAAACACACACGAGATTGAAAAAAGGGTTCATGTGAAGATCTCGAGTTGTGCATCTTAGATACGAATTAAAATGTCAAAGGCACCAAACGTCCCATTATATATTTTATGCGCTGTGTTTCATTTAACAGTATTTCTTTTAACATGCTTAGTGATAATTTTGCATGTGGTGCAGGCCTTGACGACCTTTAGTTCTCCCAAGAAAGCGCAACTTGTACAAACCTATAGAGTAGATGCGGATCAAAGAATTAAGCAAAGTGCGTTGTTCGGGTGTCAATCAGATAATGCGTAGTTATGCTGCCAGAAGGTAAACTTAGAATACCATGCCGCGGTAGCTTTACTCAGTCTTATAATATTTCGTGCTACGATCTTTACATGTGAGAGGTGAAGGGATGTAGAAATGTATAAAAATTAAATTTGTGATACTTTGAGTGAATATATTTATTTTGGTTATATTTTGTACTTTTCTCGTGCGCTCGTTCTGCAGCTAAAGTAAGTGCTGAGGAACAGTACAAGGTTGCTAATCTATTTCCTGAATTTTGTCGTAGGTTTACGCTGGAATATTTTACCAGTGCGTACTTTCAGCTAAGTGTAATCTAGAATAGTAATGTATTTAAAGATAAAAAATTCTAAATCATTTTTTCCGCGCATGCAAAGTGGCAAAAAAGGACAGGTCAACGTGGTCCAACGTTTCTCTGGCGGGATATCTTGGCAACGAATGAAGTTTGCCATGACTTGTAATATGTTAAAATATAATAATGGTCGTACTGTTCTTTAAAGATGTTTAGAAGTTTTTTCAACTGAGTAAAAACTCTATGCAGACAAATTTAATGGAACTGGTAATACTGTATAAGGTATGCTGTAAGGAATAATATATAGAATATTATGTCAGCAAGTGTGCTAAGATATTGTCGTGGGCTAGTCGGATATGCATGATATAAAAATTAAATAGCGCAAAGGTCAGACAGAGGACAAATGACAGAACATGTTGACAGCACAAGCGCTAACTCACAATTGGCGTTTGAATAGAAAAATTTATATTAAAATGCCAGTTGTGAGTTAGTGCGTGTCCTGGCTACATATTCTGTCCTTTGTCCTTTGTCTAACCTTTGCGCTTATTAATTTTTATATTATGTCAGCAAAATTTTTATTCTGGCAAGCGCTTCTCGTTCGAAAAAGTTTCTTTTAAACTTCAATAATTTTGCTTGTAAATTATGTCAATGCAAAATAGGTTGTTTTTTTTTTTTTTTATGCAAAAAAGTAATAAATGCAGGGTGTTTTTTTAGATGCACCAAATTTTGAAAAAAAAAAGGCAACGAGAGATAGAGTAATTTAAGCACTGGAAACATGTTAATGGCCATGGGGGCCTCTAGAAAAAAGGTGAAATTAGGTAATTAGTTAGATAATTAACTAAAATGTTTAACTATTTAATTTTTCACTTCAAGGCACATAATGTATTTAGTGGATTGAAGACCGACCACAATATGGTTTAGCCGTGTCGTCAAATTTGGGTAAAACAATTCCTAGTAGGCGCTACGGGGTCGAGAATAGTGACTTTCGTAAATGGCATCAAACCGAAACTACACAGGAAAGAGCGCCGGTAAAGTCATCGCTCCGCCCTTTCGGGCATGCGATTTGTTATTTTCGCGGCCGGCTCCACTTACTTGGGCGAAGCTGACTGTGATAACGACGATCCACCGAGACCGGAAAGGCGGAGCGATCACTTTACCGGCGCTCTTTCTCGTTTAGTTTCGGTTTGACGCTGTGCACCAAAGCGACATTTCTTGACCCCGTAGCGCCTACTAGGATTTTTTTTAAATTTTATGTCTAGAATTTTTTTAATCAAACTTTGATGGCAGGACTAGAGCATATTGCAATCGAGCTTTGATTTTCTAAATATATCATGTGCTCTCGAGTGCAAATTTAAAAAGTTAATTAAAACCATTAGTTATTTAGCTAATTACATAATTTCACCATTTTTCTAGAGGCCGCCATGGCCATTAACACTTCCAAAGGGCTTAAATGACTCTGTCACGTTTCCTTTTTTAAATTTGGTGCAGCTGAAAAAATCATACTGTATATGTTAGAATTTTATGGTGGTACATTAGGCACCAAATATATTTGTGAAAAGCTTAATTTGTTGCATGTTTAAGGATACTACGAATGTGTTTTTCTTCTCTCTCAGCGCAGAGGATATTTTTGTATGGAATTAAAAGCGCTTCCATTTTTTACTTTGAGTTAGAGATTCAGCTGATGAAATGTGTGACTAGGTTGAAAGTGTTTCCGAAGTTCTAATGCTTTAGCTAAAATCTCCACCGTTTCTTCTAGGTACAAAGGCTTCCTAAAAGACTGTCCGAATGGCCAACTAACAGAACAGGTGAGCCGCATTACTTTTCTTTTTTAGTACAACGTGTTTCTTCCAGCAGGTTAGTTTGTCACACAAAATGAGAGTTTCGTTCCCAAATCAAACATGTATAAATAAGGGCTTTTCTGTTAAGTGAACACAATGTTATTTTATCTGCCTCAATGTTAATTCGAAAGGTATCACCGATGTAGTCGTAACAATGATCTGATAAACCCCAGAAAAAACTCAGTACTCTGTGGAAGCAAGGTCGGAAACATTGCTCAATTAGCCTTATTAATCTATTTGAAAATAAGCCTAATTGAAGTAGTTTTATTATTTTTTACCATTTTAACTAATTTGTGGCATTACGCTTTACAATGCTTTTTGGAGGCCCACGAGGCTAAAAGAAGAGTAACATCAAAATGTATTTTTTATATATATCGGTTTACGCTTTGGTATGTAAATAATATGCGGAAACGTTATGTGTTCAACAGTGACGATCGAGATCCCATATCATTCTGATTTAGAGTCCTAATGTGCTTATTAAAGTAAGACGAATTCAACATATTTCGGTGAGTTTTAGTGCTGTTCTACATTCTGCAAGATATAAAAGTACATGAAATAAGCCCAATCCCCGAAAATTTGAATTCAGGACCTATAATTTTGGAGAATCCACAGTGTATTGAGCGAGACTCGGAAAACTCATTTCTGCTTGTTCAGACTTCTGACTGATTTTAAAGCATCAGAGCAATGTTGTAAAGAGACTGCTAATGTTCTATTTGACAATTGGACGATGCCTGTGGCCAACAAGAGCTAATCATAAAAAACATATAAGTGAATTAAATATCACAACCTAATACTGTAAAAATTCGTATGCGTATTAACAACACACCCGTAGGTAAACCTTTACGGAAACTGAAGGTGACGAGACATACAACACTGTCCTGCTGTATTGTGGGCGCCTTTACTTAAGTTTTGTTTGATGGAATATAAAACAAAAAGAAACTATATAAAATAAGATCATCTGTAACAGTGGCATAAGTAGTAAATGTGCTGGCAATACTTGTTCCTATTATTTTGCCCGTGTGAAGGCTCGAAGCAAACAATCCACAATCCATTAAAAATTACATTTCCAAAGCATCACACATTCGCTAATCTATCGGATGAAATTGAAAGGTACAAGGTTAGTCGTCATAAATATGAGTGAACCAAAAATTAATAAGTTGTTTACAGTGTTGACGGATTTCACTCATCTAGGCGTCAGAGAAAGATGTATTCAGCAATCGCCTTGAACGCATTCACTTTGTGATGTTTTTGGTTGGCAGGTGTATAAATCACCATTGATCTCTTTCACAAATGAAAAAATACCTTGAGACGAGCTTCGACAAACGTCTTGGTGACTTCATATAGAAGCCTTCTCTTACCAGCTAGAAATAACGCGAATGGTTAAGAAAAAATACACAATAAATCATGGCGAATCTGGGCAGGAGAAAAAGTAAAGAAGTAATACATCCTGCAATTGTAATAAACAACTGCCCAATTACAGGAACGGATTTCTGTGTCAGTATCCAGAACAGATAATCACGTATATAAAGTTACGTTCCCCGAATATATTACCGACTTTTTTTTACTGAGACCCCTAACCATTCGAAACAAAATATCTGTACGATTTGCAAGAAACAAGATTTCGGCATATACATAACCAACACTTTGATTTGTAAACTCAACCTGCGAAAGTACGTGTATATTTAATTATTTGTAAGCATTCCTCGCCAGAGCTACCTTCCAAACACTCTTAAAATATTTAAAATGCATTAGCCACCTTTGCAGGCGGTCTTCTGTAACACTTGAAGTAACATTGTGTGTTTTCTTTTATATTGTTGTATACAATGCTAGGGTATACAGGGTGTTGTTTAGGATTGAGCGATTTTCATAAAAAGTATTGGAAGCTGCACTAGTACGGTCTGCGCAGGAGACTTATTCGATCAAGGCGCCATAATATAGGGGGCGAATAGTCACGATAAGTGAGTTAATTACGCGTTATTTTTTTATTTAATAAAAATACACAGAGGTATTCAATTAGAAACTTGCTGGATATAATTGCAATTTCCTATATAACTAAATTTAACAAATATTCGGGCATGTGGGAAGCGCGGGGTCGCGGTATTGTTACAACGCGTGCAACAGTCCCAAAGCTGGGCGTGCGAAAACGCGCTGATTGTTTCGCCTGTTATTCTCGTTTTTGCGCCGCCGGTATTTAGCCCGTTTTATCAGGGGTAATTGCAGCGAATTGCCGCGCTTCCCACGTGTCCCAATACTTTATTAAATTTACTTATTTTGAGTCTTGGTTTATGACACTGAGCGAGTTTCTCACTGAAATCGCATGCTTATCCTTCCCTAATCACAATACGTGATTTAACACATTGTAGATAATTATTTTACTTAGTGACGTTTGACACCTACTTTATGCACCTCTGGCCGAAACGCATACCTGGGGAGACCAGATGAAAATGACTGTCACGGCTTTTTTAAGACAAATCTTTAGAGCCAAGAAAAAACACTCTATAACCATTTCCCTCTTGAAGCACACGCATCTGGTCGTGTTAAATACTCACTACAGATGCTCAATTAAAATGTATCGTTGTGGAATATATTGTTTTAATTACAATATACTGCTCTTGGTATTCGAAGTATGGGAAATAGATGCGTAACATTAAATACTTTGCACCAAGGGGCCCTTTTACATTTTATCGTGTGAGTCTTTGAATCCCCCTTAGGTTAATTACTGTAATTATGGAATGATAAAACATTAGAGTGAACGGTACACTTCTAAGAACAAAAATACATATTATATTGCTATTTAAATATATCCTGTAAGTTCTTATGTCGGTCATCACCATAACTCTGACGCCAAATTAAGTAAGACACCCGCACTGAACATCGATCTAAGATTTTCCCAAGATTAACGTAATATTTCCAATTGCCACATTACTCTCGGCACTCGAAACACGCGCTATGAGTATTTTGCTTGCAGGATTTCAGAGTAAGTTTTTATTTGCCCCGTTTTGTTTTGCTTGTTCTGTGATTCCAATCAAAATTTTAGGGTTTTGAAACAAAAGCAAAGCTTTAAATGTGTTTATCTCCTCTTGAAAGTCCCTAACAGCTCTGATATATAGAGATGTGTACTCGGCATGTAATTGGCTTACAGCCGCTCTTTTCGTTCTAGGGTTTTCTGAGGATATACAAGCAATTTTTCCCTCAAGGAGATCCCTCGAAGTTTGCATCGCTGGTTTTCCGGGTCTTTGACGAAAACAAGGTAAGTCTATCCCAATAAAAATAAGCGACATAATAGCACTTTGGGAATGTATCTGAACGTAATGCTATAACTTGTTTGTTTGCAAAATCAGGCTGTCTCGAAAAAATAAAAAGAAACAAAAAAACTTAATAACACGGGCTTTTACGGGTGACGTGGTCGTGTGAGCATGCGACGTGACCTCAGCTAAAGTTACATCACGGTGTCATTACGTGCTGTGCGGGATTTGGCCACGTCGTTATCAAGTAACACGTCATGCGGATGACCATCGCTGCGAATTTTGTGTAATTCCTTTGAACTTCGGTGGATTGCAGTGTTGTCTAGAGTACAATATTTTTCATGTGGGTGGCTGTTTCTTTTAGCGGTTTTCAAGTCACGATGAGTCCTTTCTGGATACCTAACATAGTTAATGGTTTCAATTTAATAATCATAAATAGCTGGAGTCATAATGTACGCTCATGGCATAGTGTTGAAGTCGTTACGAATGCTCAGTGAAATTGTGGTCAGTGCATGAGACTACCGGTCGCGACGCCGTGACGGCGCTAACATTGTAACACGCTTTGAACTGAGTTGTCCGTGAATCCTTAAAGGCAATTTTAAAGTCGGCGAGTTCGGACAGGCAGAGAGAAGTATGCATAAAGTTTCAGAATAAAATATTTGGCAATGTTACCTAAGATTTGGTAATGCTACCTTAGATTTGGCAATGCTACCTTATGCTATTCTTGTACAAACAAAATGTGAGCAGGCGTGGCTTTCGACACGTAGTGTGCTACCGAGTGGCCCTTAGAAATTGACAATACTGCAAAAGAGACAGGGGGATGCGGAAGGTCTGCGTATCACATTTGGCCAAACTTCGTTGATAACAGAGCGATAATGCTGATAGAGATCTTGGCATCAGCGAAGGACAACGCTGGTCACAGATGGGATACGACGACTGCGTCAACGCCCGGCCCATACTTGAGCCCGTGCGCTGAAGCAACACACGTTTCCAATCTGTGTCCGGGGTTGGCCTTCGTTGGTGACGTAAAAGTGTCAGCACTACAGCCTTGTCATGTAGGCGGTGTTATCAGTGACTAGGTGATGCCTGGCGGCCTTTAGACAACACTACACAGAGTCAAGGCCGTTGCAGTCCTTCCATGACGCCACGGTTGGAGGCGATCGGGTCGGGCAGGGCTTACCGGGATAGCTCTGAGGTGGAGGTAGCGCGCGTAAAAGTGCCGTGGTAAATAAGAAAAAAATAATTAAAGACACAGGCAATATGTATCATCTAGAAAGTTGTGTAGAAGTATGAGACCGACAAGGGAATAAACTTTATTGCATTCGAAACAATGTTGCTCCGCAGAACGCCTAAGCCCATTTATTGTGAATTGATTTGCCCTTATACCAAAAAGTTATAACTTACTCAGTCAGTCTTTATTTGTTATAATGATTATTATGCAAAGCCCTTAAGTTCAATAAATGTACACGGGCAAACGTTAATTATTTACGACAATAATTATTGCCTGTTGTGTTGTGTGATCACAAGAAATACGTATAACAATGCCTAGAGAAAGATGTTTTTACACAAACGTTTCAGCGCTGAAATCGCTCGGACAGATAGATGTTTTATAAACAATAATTCCCGTGAAACGACTAGACCCCGTCTAATGCGACATTGCAAGACAGTTCGTAGTAACAATGTAATGCATGCAGAACCAATGGCTTATGGGAACTATTTCAAACAATAAAAGAAAGTAGTGCTAATTAATGCTGCCTTGTTTCAGCAAAAAATATGAAAAAAAAGAAATATATACCATTTTTTTACTTCACAGAATGAAACCGATGGCGAGTAAAAGTAGCAAAATATTCTCTATAAGGAAAGTTGATGTATTTTCCGTCTTCCGTATTTATTATTTCTAATATTTCAGTCTCAACGCGCATTTACTAATATAATATAATTTTCCGCTTATCGTTTTGTAATCATGTATTTTTAAATATTCCTTTTAGCGAAATGGCATTTTTTCCGCCACATAAATATTAACGAGAGAATTGAAGTTCTTCATGAGCCACTAGCTCCATCGAGACTCGCAGTTCTTGAAAAAGACGCGAAAATGATTCTACATCGACACATACTTTTAATTGCACTACTCTGCTCACATACCATCCCATGCGACCAAGAAACGTCTAACGAAAATTGGCAGCTACCTTTACGTTAAAGGGGCCGTGCAAGGACTATTTTACTGGTTTTTAATTTGCACCGAACCTGAGCGCACTGAACGCATAACTTAGTGAAGCTTTTCTTTTCTCAAAATTTGTTTTCTTTGAAAAGTTATATGCAAATTAGAATTACAAAAACTAGCGAAAAATAACCTCCCTCATGACGTCCTTGGTTGCTTGAGTGGCCGTGGACTACAGGAGGGGTAGTGAGCTCACCAAGCGCTCACGGCTGCCGCACTCCGTCTCGACGGCGGGAGAGGACGCCACTAAAGCATGTTCTGGATAGGCTGCATGCTGCTGGCAGCCAGAGCGGCTCTCATTGCATTTGCTGCGCGAATAAACACTAATTCGGCATGACACTTCATTGGCCACAAACGCCAGCAAACAAGGGGTGAAGATCAGTCCGAAATGGGAGCCACTTCCCGCTGCCATACCGCGAAACGGCCGATCCGCAAGACAAAATTAAAGCTTCTCCCCGGAGGCCTTCGGAGCGGTCGGAGCCGGTCGGATCCTCCTGTCCATACGACCGCAGCTCCGCCGCGTAGATCCGGGACCTTTCCGTGTCGGCGCCTGATCCCACCACTCCTTTCTACTATGCGCCGCCCTTTCCACCGCGTGGTGGCGGGTATGTTGACGTGTAATTTTTTGTTTCCCTACTATATAAACTGCATTCGTTTCTTTTCTGGTCTAACATACTGAACAAAAACTACTTTTATCAATAATTGAAATGGTTTGCGCCACTTATATTTTGTATTTCGATCAAAAAGAAGCTTTTAGCGGCTCTGACCAGTAGAAAATCCAGGACCAAATACCTCACATTTCGCGCGCTTTTAGTACCGCTGATCGCCCTCGTCGGTGGAGGAGGTTTCCGCGTCGTCCGGTTAAAATAGGACGCACTGATATTTAGTTAAGGCACGACCACATTGGCGTTGCGGAGGTCTGCGGTGCGACGGCCGGCGCTACCGGTTGCCCAGTTTTCGGCTCCAACGGCGCGACGTACGGAGCCGCAGAGCGAACCACTCCTTGCGTGGTTCAGAGCTTGCCGCCGCTCGCCGCAGAAGAGAGGAGCCAATGGGAGATGGCGTAGATAGTGACGTCGCGATGCCTTGGCAACGCTCAAACTGGTCCTCCGCACGCCTTTCAGGTTCCGAAGGACGTGTGTCGTGTCGTCTGCTATTCCTATTTCCCTTCGATGCCTTCCGCAACGAAGCGGTTCCTTGAAACTGTGCGACTGTTCCCCTTTTTAGATGCAAAAACGCAGCCAGACTACCCAGATAGTGACGCTAAGAACAACCGCTGGGAAATTATAGGAGAGGAGTCGGAATTACAAGCGAGTTTCTCCGTGGCACTTGTTGCATGTCGTCTGTGTTTTGACGAATGTCGTGTTGATTTGGTGACACTTTCGAAAGTATCCTTCATCTCTGGCGGGCCGCCGGGGCAGCAAAGCACTGATCTGTCCTTCGGTGTTTCGGTAGAACCAACTCGGCCGGACCCAAAACCTGCGCCGCCTTCCCTTCAGAGCGCGGCGACGTGGCAAGGTCAACGAGCAGGCTAGGATAATCCCATTCACGCTGATCACCAGATCATCATGGACTCCTACCATGTAGGCAGCGAGTGCGGTTTCGATGCTGATATATGCGAAAGATGAGAGCCGATACCTGGCCAAAACGGAGGATTCTAACGAAGAGCAGACGGCGAAAGAGCGGGAAATCTAACGGGAGGCACACACGCGATCGCGAGAGCCAGTGCTGTCACGTGACGCCCGCAAAATGGAGGCCAATGTGGACTGCTCGCGTTGGGACGCCGGCCGGCGGTGCCGGCCGGCGGCGCCGCCTGGCGACGCGTGTAAGCTAGTATGATCAGGCCTTTACTCTCTCCGTTCCCGCTGGCTTGCCCGAACTCTAAGAGACCTGGAAACCGCCAAAAAAGGAGACGCTTAAATATGATTGCAAGGCCCCCTTAAGTCCAATAACGCACGATAGGCACCATGGAAATTGGTGAAGGAATTGGTGCGTCACGTGACATATAATTTTCCGCAATATTTAACGAGGAAATTGAATAGTTGCATAGGCCACGTTACGTCATGTCACGCGACATCGATTTTCCCGCTAAATTTAGCGGGTAAATTGGATTGGTGTCTAGGTCACAAGGTGTCAATTTCCCCGATAAATTTAGCGGGTAACTGAATTAGTACATAGGTGACGTGACGTCAATTTTCTGCTAATTTTAGCGGGAAGCTAAACTGATGTTTTGGCCAGAAGACTTAAATCTTCTCGCAAAATTTGGAAAATAAGTTGGCATATAGGTCAGGTGCCGTCAATTTTTCTAGGGTGTATGGGTCACGTGACGTAAGATCACGTCACGTGATGCTGCTTTCCCGTCAAAATGTAGCGGATTATGCGGGGACAAATGAACGAACTGGCCGGTAAACCTTTGGGATTGGGGTTATTTTTAAAAAGCATTTCGCGCTTTTTAAAGTTCCAATCTGCCAAATGTATCCATGCAATCCAGCTACCACCAAACGTAAGCATGAGTATTACCACCTCAGACTCGGACAACGGTCAATTCGGGGATGATGACATAATGCAAGAGACTTTGAGAAGCCGTTCGCCACTGCCGAAAGAAAACACAGAAGCCATGCAACAAAATAACAACAGAAGAACAGGCGTGTATTACATTGACAAAAGAAGCGAGCCACACTACCCTGAATAAACTAAACCACCTTCCGAAGCCGACAGCGCCTTATATAACAGAAGACGGCGCCGTTGTGCTTGGCGTCGCCGGTGACATGTATGCAGATCCTACTC